TCACTTTTTTTTTTTTTTTAAACATAACACATTCCTAGCCTAAGGCTATCTAAATCTACTTACCAATATCACTTAAGTAATTACATTAATTTAAATATATATGCATAAAAATATTTGAATTCAAAAACTAGATTTTTTTACATTCTTATAAATATAATATAACTTCAGCCAATCTTAGGTAGGTATATAAGAAACGGTAAATTTAGAAAATGTTGAAATTGGAGAAATGGAGACCTTGAATTGGTACTTTTTCAAGCTAAATATCCTTTTTACAAATTATGGTAAACTTTGAGAACCTGAAAGTTTCACACTGCAGCTGATCACCAGTAAACGAGTTTGTTTCGGTAAAAGGATCTCTCTTTTTCTCAACGAATTTCTTATACATATATATGGTTTGTGGAAACCAAACGCGATTTCCTTGTGACCTACTTTTATATTAAATCAAACTTCAAATCATACAGCCATAGTTATTACTATTATAAATGATTTCATCRGCAGATGTGTTTCTTTTCTTCGACTAATCTTAAAAATAAGTTTCATATAAAAACTTATCATACATATTATGTTTAAAACTATATTCGTATGTTGGCATAGTGTATACAGTATAATTTGGTTTATGAAAACAGATTTTTTTTTCGTKGATGTTTTCTGGTAGATAGTTAGATACTACGACAATGTTAATCCATTAAAATCTGTTTTATGTTAATGTATAATTAAATTTCAGAAATCATTTTTCGTCAACCGAAAAAAAAATGGTAACATAAAGATAGGTACCTATAGTTTACTAGTTTCCATTGTACATTGGTACCTACTTACATTCTACGTATCATGTATATTATGTTAGTATCGTATAGATACTTCATATTTTTTTGAAATGAATTAWATTATATAATGATATATCAAGGTATATACAAATATACAATGTAAACGATGATGTAAAAATTACATATCCGATATCAGTTATGTATAAAATACAAAAATAAATGTTTAAAAACTTTAATGAAAAAAATATGAAAATATAAACTATTTGATTTAAATTTTTAAAAACAATTATAATAAAATAATAATTACTTCCATTTAACCAACGACCGCTGGAAATTATTATTATTATTAATGTTTTATGTTAAAAATAAAAATAATACTATGAACTAAAATTAATAATAATTGGACATTATCCAATCAATAATATTACAGTATTCTAAAACAGAATGTTCAGCTTATTAGAAACAATAACTTTGTATAAACATAATATTACATTAATAATTATAACATTATAACATTTCTTAAAAGTTTGATATACTTTTTGAATTACGAGTATACAGGTGTTTTAAAAATAAAATTCTAAAAAAATTGTGCCAAATAGGTACTTGTATAAAAGGATCACATATTTTTATGATTTTAAACATATTTTACAGAAATACTAAGTATTATAATTTAAAATTTAACTTATTAGAAATTCTACTTCAAAAGGATTTAAAATCCTTTACCTACTTTTGTGCCACGTGGTACCTATTTTCTTCGCGTTACTTAACCAAATATATAATGACATAAATCGTTTTTTCATCGTATATTTTATATAGGTACTTGGTACTTCTTAAATAATTTTAATAATATTATTGTTTGTTTTTCAATTATTTTTAATGACATATTTTATAATACCTATATTATAATATGTTTCACATTATGAATATATAATGTACACTCACACGCAAACAACACACACATAAATTCGTACTCAATACATACTTTTTAATTATCACCATACAATTTTATTTATTTTTATGTTACCTACTTTTAAGAGATAGTTCTAATAATAATTAAAGTTGCATTTTTATACTATATCCATTAGTTTAGGTTATAATACTATATACCGTTTAGTGTTTACTGCAGAAATAGCCTTACGTCAAACACATTTATCTATAGAAATTGGTTTAGTTTATAGTTATATTATCATAATTTGGTGAACGGGACAAGATTGGAGATCAGATTCGTTTCATGAACGAACGAAACTGAACTAAAATAATTGTTGAACAACTGGGAACTAGTGATACCGGCTGATGATTGACCTCAGAACACACAAGTGACTGAAGCTAATTATTACGCAGTCACACTAGGCTCCGATTCAAAATACTTTATCAGTGTGATTAAACAGATTCAGTACACCTAATATTAAGCGAGATGCATGTTTTCGATAAATACCCATAATTTTTAAAATGTGTGCTTTTAAAAATTTGACACTTGCATTAAAACATTATATACCTATACGCACCTAAGTGAGTGTTAACTTCACGTTTTTAATTTTTATTATCAGTATAATATATTATCTTATCTACTTGAATGAAAAATCGGTCGTATAACAAAGTATTTTAATTTGTTTAGTCAAAAATATTAGACATACACATTGATGTACAATTTTGAACATATGTGTATAGGTACCAGTATTATATCCATGACTTATCGGAATGAGATGCTGCAGCGCATACGACCTATTTGATTATTGAGGATAAATAGGTACCCATACAACACTATTATTATGGCTATATGGGCGTTATAATATATTTTATCGTATATTGTTGTGTGTTGGGCGTAGACAGCTGCGGATTAAGAATAATACTATAGACGTTGAATAGATACTAAAACACCATTGTAAATTTGTATATCACGATGAATGTGTCAAAGAAAATAATTTCCAAATCGAATTCGCTTCGTTTCAACTCTTTTTGTGTGGAGTCATCAAATTTAGAATAGGTATACCTAATTTATACTTATAATTCCTTTTTATACTTATCAGATTGATGTATTATAATAATATATAGTGTGATATATATGGGTTAGTTGGTTAGTTTGACTGGTTTCATTGCGCCATTATTGTTTAATCATTATCATCATAGTTTCATCTTATTCGTTATTCCAATTCCCATACACTGCATTATTAGCGATAATTATTAAATAATATTATGTTTACGATGATGCATTGTATTGAATACATACCTAAGGTATTAAGAAAAAAACTTCATTAGAAAATAATTATCCGAGATAAATTATGAATTTTAAATACACTTTAAAACCTACACACATGAAAGTTTTTATTATAAAATAGTTATAATTAAATATTTTATTATTATACTATAATATAGTTTGGTTAGTAAAGCGTTTTAATTCTGAAAGTTTTCCCAATTTTGATGAGTATTTTTATACTTATTATTCACCTCATTTCTTGAAGTATTGTTTAGAATTTTTGATTTTAAAACCAAACAATCTGATGTAAAGTTTTACAAAGTTCCCCAAAAAATAATAGCAAAAAACATTTTAATAAAGGAACTTTTTTTAATCATTAATAATTTGAATTATTATTATTGATGTATACCTACCTTTGGTAAACCATCAAAAACAAAAAAAAAAGATATTTATGTTAAAAAATATATCTATAAGTATAATATAGCATATCGTAAAAAATTCTAAATCCGTTGATTTACGTGTAATCATAATGGTTTAAAAAAATAAAACCATTTATATTTCACAGGTAGCGTCTAGTACACTTGCACTGCAATATAGTCGTATGAATGGGTGTTAGATGTTTAAAGATTTACAAAATAAAATGATTGCGACTTTAGTAACATTTGAAATAACTTTCGAAATGCGTAGAAAATATTAAAGAAAAATCGGGCACATTTTTCTCAGACTAGGGGCTTTTACACAAAAATCTTGATTTTATTATTGTGCATTTCCGGGGACCAACACTTTTTCAAAATGATTTGTACATAGCTATCATTCTGTTTCATTTGTTGAAATGTTTCTGTATTGTTCTTGAACTATATTTTCGTCGCGCATATCGTCAAAAAAATTTAAGTTATGCATATTAAATCATTCATTTCTCCGACAGATCTTTTTACATTTCCCCTGGATTATTACATAATCTGCATATTCTGCATATTTACATATGATTATTTATCGAGATAATTTTGCATCAATATTTTCCACAGTTCTGTTCAGAGATTTTGGAAATTTCTTTTATCGTATTATTATTATTGAATAATAGTTTAATTTTGAGTACTTAGCAGTTAACTCTTAAAATATATTGACAGCTAAGAAAAACAATGGACTAGCACGTCATTAAGTATCTCGCTTGTATAATATAATTATAGTGGTTTGTAAAACTGTTGAAATGTATTCATCAATATTAGTTTTATTTTTCGTCGATCATTTATAATATTTCAATTTACATAATATACTTATATTTTATTTATTTCTTCAATTCACAATTTAAATTTTACTTAAATTATAAATCCATTTGATTTTAACTTTAAACTAATCTTGTTAAGTTATCCAAAACCAATCTAAATAGTTAAATTATAATATTATTTATGTATGATTCTGAAATTGAATTACGAGTATAAAGTTTTTTTCATCTCACTTATTTTTATTATTGATTTTATAATATATTTTTTATTATAAAATCAATGTTTTTACGTAGTTATTATTGAAGTGCTATATTTCATAACAACTAAAAAGTCATTAAAACTAAAAAGTTATAATTTTTTCTTTCGGTACTTATCGTTTATTTGTATAATGAAAAATCTAAGTTGAAAATTTAAATATAGATGAAAAAATATTTATCTTTCATTATTACCTCATTATAATATGTGTCCGATTAATGTTTACTACTAGCAATTATGTTGATGAGTTGAATCGTTAGAATTGTATACTGTATACAAGATCAAATTTAAATCTAAAATGTTTGGTGTGAACGTTTTATATTTGTATGTTTTAAAGCCTCAAATAAAATGCACCAACCTATTGTATATAATATAATATATAAAAAATGTATTTATGATTTTATTGTGTTGATAATTATTTTTGATTAATACGTTAGATACTACGACATTTATTGCTAACAATTTTAATATTTTTTCGACCATCAAACTAAATAATAACGTTAGAATGACATTATGTGCTTTTACTATCATACTAATACAATACTTCTTTTTTTATCTATTTAGCCATATCACAAAAACCACCAGCTACGATGATCCCAGAAACGATTTGGTGGAGGAGAGTCCAAAACCTAGACTGGTTACTTTAAAAAGACATCCTGAACTAGGGTTTGGATTTGTAGCTGGCAGTGAAAAACCGGTTATAGTTAGGTAAGTCTGTTTATATTCAGTTATAATTATAATTAAATAGTTAATTAGATATTATGCACAGCTATATATATTTATAACTTTGAATACTGATACATTTTTGATAATACATCTAATAAATAATATGTATGCATTATGGTATTAAACATTTTGAAATTACCAAATATATTTTATTTTAAGTATAGGTATTAATATTAATTTTTTTTCGTAAAACGCTTTTGATGTTTAAATTATGACAAAATTAGATATTTAAACGAAAAATAACGATTTGTCCTCAATGTATTTTAAATATTTCGTTATTATTAAACAATTTTCATCGTAGAAACTTATAACTCTCTGCTGTTTCTTAATACTTATATTATGTATTACCATTTTCTGTATACATTATGGGTTTTCAACATGATTCATCCGATAAGTTTTAAATGCTTAGTATTTTTGGATTTTAGGTTTAATGTAACAAACTAATATATTATTATATACATTAAATAAAATAATAATATTAAACATTTCTTTAATGGCGGTGTACCTATAAAATAAATGTCTTATTTAGCTTTTCTTGGTCACAAGAACAACATATATATAGTCGGAACTCAATTGATAGACCTATGTATATCCGTTGTAATGACTCCATTAATTTCTGAAGCTTCTTGGTTGTTGATAATAATGGTAGTACGTCCGATCAGTATCTGTAGCATATCCCCAAAATATGTAGGCAGTCACACGGTTTAAGGTTGACCTAGAAAACCTGGTGTAAAAGTCTACGACGATTCATTTTGAATAATTCTGTACGTTGATAGTTCCAAATATTTAGCTTATWTTTATACTATTTTATCACAGACGACCCTATTCACACTATTTTATTATGTAAATTTATAAACTATGATATCTAATATTTTGGCAACAATTATTATTTCAACCTATTAAAACACAGAAACTACTAATAAAAGTATATAGACTAAATAAATATGCTGATCCACCCACCTCCGTCATCGGGTAAGACAGTTGTTGTTTCATATTATATACAATTGTAGTATATCATTGAATTCGAATTCCACACATTCATTACAGTGACGAGACATACTGGAAACCTTACTCTTACAACACAGTACGACTAGTTCGCTGGGATTTTTTTTTCACTTCAATGGTCTCGGTGACGTTCAATTCATCTTCGGATTTCCACTCGGCACATGCGCGAATTTCCTCTCGTCCGTCACGTACAAATAACCAGCCATCTCGGTTCTAATGCGTTTTCTAGTCCCTTCGTATAATAGTCGTGTGCAGCATTATGTATACTTCCTCCCTTCGCGCGACACGCAAAATATTTACTGTCATACGTTCGGTACATGTACACACGTGAGTTCTATAATATAACAAAAAATCCATCCGACCGKTTRTAACCACAACAAATAAGATGCATGTAGCGGTGTGGTATGTGTGTGTTTTAAGCATAAAATATAAATATAGTTTCATCGTGTGTGCGAGATCTATATAGCTCGACCGCGATGTACATGTTTTTTTTATGGGCATTTCACTCCACAATACAATCACGAATTGTCGTCTACCGGTCGTACCATCCATCTACCATACTCGCGTGATGCATATGTATGCATGTATATATATAAAGTAATAATAATTGACTTTATGAAGGAAAAAAATAATACGTGTATGAAAAATAAAAATAACGAATGAGATTTGTAAAGCGATTTTTATAGGTACGATGGATGAGCATAAGCGTATAAACAATATACGTATATAACAATATGTACTATATAACAGTATAATATATAATATGTATGAATTGGACTCCATCTCACCACGTCTCGAACGTACGTCAAATACCTTTGGTTTATTCATTTTTATTTTTTATCACATCGAAAGCAGAACATAATTTTTCCGTAAAGGTCGCGTGTATTCGCGTTTTTCCTCGGGGTTTCTGTCTGACTCGATTTGTCACCCCATACCCCTCCATCATGACAGCCGTAATCACCGCCACCGACCCCCCCTCCACCCAATAAACATACATACGCGGCACGCACAAGTTTCCACGCACGGGGGTATAATATTATTATTATACTCTAACCCACCTATACGGACCTATACCTTTATACCTTATACTATACCTACCCCTACTCTTATTATCTCCACGACGCAGACGTTCCCGGCGAGAAGAGCACGTTAGTCGTCTGCTTTGACAGTATCCCTGAAGACCGATTTATATTTTTGCTTTTCCCGACGTTTAGCGTTTGCACACTGCCCGATTATCTGCCACACACGACACACACACACACTTTCTCTCTTTCTCTCTCTCTCTATCTATCTATCTGGTATGAGCCGTACGTGTATGATGTGAACGACGTAATCATAAAATAAGCACACGTGATTGCACATCGCCAGTCGTCTTAAGAGGTCACTGCAGTGGGCGTGCGTAAATAAAACGGAACTTTAATATTGGATTACAATAAATAATTATCATATTTTACGTTATGGGTACCGAAAATAATAATACGTAAGCGCCAAAGCAATCAGCTTCAACGTGGTCGTTACTCATTACAATAAAGATGATGGAGTGGGGAATGGGGATGGGTAAAGTACAGATTATCAATACTATATTATTTAATAAATATTGTTGTGCACCAGTACGAACTCTCGGTCGAAAAATCACACCGAGACGTGTAGTTATATACATTTAGACGATAAAGTACCTATAATATAAACATATAATGCTTTAATAGCTTAGGTATTATAATATTATAGGTAGGTGCCACGAACGAATGAACCAGATGATATCATATTATTCATATTACGATTGTTTTCGCGTACATCGTCGTACGTCGATGTAATAACATTTTATCGAGACAGTCTGCACAAAAACGACGTACTCACTGCAGCAACGACCTGTTATTACTATTATTGTTTTTGTTATCATTTTCATAGAAACGTATATAAACTCGAAACAAAAGGACTTAAGTGCGTTCTATTATACGGAGCTTCCTTTATATATATATATAATATATATAATATATGAATATTATCTCTCCGAATCTCTTATAAATTAAGGCGTGTAATGGACGTATTAAACTGAGAGAGTCTTATGTATAAATATTACTATATTAGATATGCATAGATATCTATACTTTTTTTGTATACTCTTACTGAATAGACTTATAAAACTACAATAATCGGATGAGAGAGATAATTTTTGATGTGTATAAAATCCGTGAAACAAGATTTTGGTTTTATTGTCTTATAATATAGGGTATATATATAAACACCTAAATTGTATTATTCGTCGGTACACTTATGTCTCGCTCACGTTCCAAAATCGTATTATTTCTGTTTAAAAATGTATAAAATAAAAACATACATCACGCACATAATACAATAAATTTCTGTATACAATACAATTATTGACTTGTATTGATGTATTGATGTACAGAGTAACATTTTACTATACGAGACCGCCATGAATAAAGTATAATAATAATGTGGAATACTATAGGTAATATTTACTTATTTAATTAACTTAAATGAAATAAATACTTAATTGGAACTGATCTTACCTATAATATATTATACTTTTATACTATAATATAATATAGCTAAAAAAATTACTAGGTATAAAAACAATGGCGATGGTACTGTATATACGASGAGTATAATATTGGTTGTCAGTAACGTTTTTATACGCGCTTCAATATAATTTTAATTTCAAAAGCTCTATTTAATAAATTAAATAATCAAATCATAAGTATATACATATATACATACATACATACATATATATATATATTTATAATATCGTATAAAATAATTATAAATGTACATATTTTGTATAAGTAGACAATATCTGCGAAGTAATATATAATATGAACTTGCTTTGTGTATGATAGTAATAATCCTAAGTAATGTAATGCAAATTGTTTGCGATTTTTACACAGTACAAATACAAATAATAAAAATAAAAAATAATTATAATGAACGTATAATATATATTATATAGTACTGATGATTATTACGACTGTAGTATGCTGTGCAGTGTACATTACTATATATTATATGCGCACAACGATGTTATAATATACTGTGCAAACAATATTCTCGTGTAGGCATATACTTTATGAGATTTCAGTTGCAGGGTGAAATTGCAGCAGCGGTAGCTCTTGCAAAAACGCAAATGATATAATAATTATATTTTGCATTACCACGATAAACATATTATTACAATATTATAATCCTACACCGTGATGAGTATTATTCGACGTATAAATTATATTTCGGGCGCACAGATACACCACGCATGAACGTTTCGACGGTTGCAGGACGATGAGACTGTCACAAATCGTTTTCGATTAAACACAAAACTATATATTATTATATAGATGATAAAGGTATTACGTGTGTGGTGTATTTAATCAATTTGTCGTTTTTATTTGTCACGTGGATTTGTGCGCGCGCTGGGTAAACCTAAATTTTAATTTTGAATAAAAAAATAAGTGTCATCGCACGTCAAAACGTGCCGTACCGCGAGAGCGTACCCACACACACACACACACACACACACGCATACACTCATTTGCCGATACTCAAATTTGCGTCCGGTGCATTTAGTCGTGATATCTATGCATCGCGGGTCGACTGAGGTTTTTTTAAAACATTATAACAATATTATTKTCGTCCGATGTGCACTAATATAGGTACGCGAACAGAAGTCGTATTACTGTGGGAATATTGTTAGGGATACCTATATACATATCCGAGGTATATATGTTATAAGTRTCGAAGGATATTATTGTTTACGTTAAACGTAAATAATTTTTTTTTTCAAATGGAAAACGTCAGTACACAGTAATGGTTTGTAAAAGTCTCAAAGGTTTCGAATACATTTGTTCACCTTTATCTGTACAACGCATATACATATATTATATCACAACCCACCGAYAGCTATGTAATATATTATGTATAAGTATAATATGTATTTGTATGTATGTTTATTGTACATTGTA